AGGAGGAAAGGAAGGGACGTATAGGAACAAAGAGCAGCATAAAGCAAATTCAAAGTAAAAACTGAAATATGTAAATAAATAACTGTACCTTTATGAAAGTGTAATTCGGCATTCCTTTGAGGATTCCAACATTCCGCAAACTGCCGCAATAGTCCAACTTATCCACTACAACAACATTATACTCTGGATATAGCACAACAATTTTGCGAACTAGGAAACAACCACTGTAAAGAAATGGAAAAATAGAACAATTAACAAAAACAATTACCAGTTAAGAGGAACGTTATTACTTTTCCCTTTGTTTCAATAATCACGTACTCCCCCTTACTTACATAAATCCAGCTCCGCCCGTTATAAGTATGTTCTTAACTTCGGTATTAATCGGCTCAACCCTCTCTCCAATGTCTTCCAAATCAAATTGTGGTATCACTTCCAGTAGATGTCTATGAGGGCTGGTCGTTGGCTTCTCTGTCGACTTGATCCCATTGACAAAGGATTTTGAATCTAAATGTTGGTTGGTGTCTAAGGACTTTGAGTCTTCTTTAATTCCAACACTTGATTCCGTAGCCGTTATTCCGTCGTTCATAATGCCAAAGGGGATGGGAAATAATAAAGGAGATTTACATTTATAGCTGCACCTTCGGTGACCGTTAAAGGTGCGCTAGAAAAGTTGTAAAAGTTTATGTCGACTAATATAGACTTTTCAGGTTCCTAAGCGATTAAGGCGTACAATCGACATAAATTAGGGAATATTTTTTCGACTTCTTTCGGAATAGCGATTTGCGCTCTTTATTAGGAAAGTTACTTTGTGCAGGGTGGCTTGATTGAAAAGTATAAAATTTAGGCCATACACGTATTTTTCCGACTTGGTTAGATTGTGACAAAACATTTACAATATGTCAAGTCCCGATAAAATGCAAATAGTCAAGGTAGGGAGGCTGACAGTTAGAAGTCCTGCGGTAATTTGACCGGTGAAGAGAATTCTAACTAGTCCGTTCTGCTTTCCTTGAATGTTTAGCCCGGTTGGGCGCATACAGGTGAGTAAATCCGCGATAGTAAGGTTTTGAGAAAAAGTCAAATTGTCTTACCGGGCTATGACCATATTGACTAAGACGAGAAGGGTGCGAAGCAAAGCATATACTCCATACATGTACATCCTCTTGGTAAAAGAGTGGCCACTGGTAGCTTGGGTATGTAGGCTCGATCTAAGATTTTACACGCTCGCGACGCGCCATGATTCATATGTAATATAATATCTTTCTCTAGACACGAAAATAAAAGTTTGGGATGCCGAGGTAGTGTTGGATGAAACGAGATCTAATGAAGAGACGCTTTTGTGTACAATGTCTACACATAATGGTTGGTGATTTGGTTTTGAGTTATGTCCGAGATTTTGGCAATGGAATTAACAACTTTGTTTCGGATCAAAGGCGCTGTCCTGTGTGTTCGATGGTCCAATATCGACGGCAGATATCTTGCGTCAGGCTCTGATGATCAAATTATATTGATTTGGGAACTAGACAAGTTCGTAACTTTAGTACTGTTATATCCTCTTTGTTGCAACGAGAGGTGGTGAAAGCTTGACATTGTTTGAATTACAGCGTGTCACGTGACACAACTAGCGTGTTTGGGAGCAACGAGAAAAATATAGAAAACTGGAAGGTTGTAAGAAGACTTACCGCTCATTCTTCAGGTAAAGAGGTATCAAGTTTGATAATATTGCATATCTTGTAATATAGATACTTATTTCTTCCGTCTAATTGTAACAGATGTTGCCGGCTTATCGTGGTCTGATGATAACAGATATCTAGCATCTTGCGGATTTGATTCTAACATATTCATTTGGGATGGTCGGACTTTTGGTAGGGCGAAATAATTGATGTATGTGATTTAATACTATCATTTATTACTAAACTCACATGGTTATTATGTTATCATTTTTAGACCGGCTCACGACACTTACAGCACATAATGGATTTGTTAAAGGTCTAAGCTGGGATCCAGTCGGACAATATCTGGCAAGCGAGGTAGCGCAGTGCATCGTTTTTGCGATTATGGATTATCGTGCATAACGTCGGGATAATAATAGGATTTTAATATTCATACTAATAATTAGTCAGATGACAGAACAGTAAAAATATGGCGAACGTCCGACTGGCAAGTGGAGACTAATATTCAAGACCCTTTTGTCACGTCACCTACAAGCACTTTTTTTCAACGGTTAAGGTATTTTCACTCTCAAAATGCATGCACTTGTCCCTGTAATTGCGTTAACAAAATAGGTGAAGTAGGGTATCATTCCGAGACTAATAAATGTTACAAACTTTTTAACGTGAATTATTGTATTTAGCTGGTCACCAGACGGATCCCATATTGCATGTGCCAATTGCCAAGAAGGGCCTGTCGCCGTGGCAGCTATTCTTCGAAGAACTGAATGGACTACAGTTGTATCTTTAGTTGGGCATCAAAGTCCGGTCGAAGTAGTCGTACGTATCGCACGCCGGCAAGTATATGTAGATGAATATGTTTTCGCATCCCGTCTGTTGCTAGATATTTACATCTCAGAATCTCATTTTGTTCAAGGCCTTCAATCCCAAATTATTCAAACCATCAGATGAATCCTCAACAACTGGAACTATCTGTGCCGTCGGAAGTCAAGATCATTGCATATCCATTTGGTCAACGAACTATGCTCGACCATTGTTTGCCACGGAACAAATATTTGAACGCAGCGTCCTAGATTTATGTTGGTACGTTAGCGGTTCATCTTGCGAGGAGTGTTGGCCATCATTAATTTCCTGACAACGCTTAGTTCGTGATATTCTTTACATGCATCTGTCAAAGGTCTCCGGATGGACATACTTTATTTGCTGCCTCATATGATGGGAGCGTTTGCATTCTTAGATTTTTCGAGGGTTCGTTTGGTACGCCTGTTGCACAAGAAGAGAAAGTAAGTGCCATATTGTTATAGAAATGAAATGTTTTGTTCTGGTAAAGGTAATCATTGTTCTTTGTTTGATAAAGGAGCGAATTTTAGAGCAGTACGGTTACAAAAGAAAAGACGCAATAATAATAGAAAACACTGCGCAATATACTTTTGAAGAACAACGAAACATAGAGAAGAAATCGAATCGCATATCAGAAATAATAGAAGGTCCTCAAACTACCTCGTCTTTCGATTCACCAACGATAATCAGTGAACCTCACCAACCGCCTTCGACGGTTCCGTCTGTGCCTCCTCAACTGCCTTCTCAATCATCCATCCAGCTTGGACAACAACAATCTCCCAACAAAACCAATAATCCTGCGATAACTAACGCAGGATCGCCAACATCCCCGATATCGAATAATACGGTTATGTCAGAGACAAGTCCGGGAACGGGCACAGTATCGCAGCCGTCAGGGGGTGTGGCGGTTTTGGCAGGTGGAAGTACATTGGAATCAACGTCGGCAACCGCAACTGGTGTCAAGAACCTCAGTACTCCAGTGCAGCAAACCGTTACTATTATGAAAGATGGTAAAAGAAGAATACAGCCGCAGTTTCTTCGTGGGTGAGCGTACGATTTGGTTGTTGCAAAAAAGAGGGGAGGGTTTAATGTTGTAAGCGAAACTTGAATTGAAACTAATGCTTCTGAGCATAGTCTATCACCACCTGCTTCACAGCCGATGACGACATCATCTTTTCCTCCAATTACGGTAATATCCAATCTTCTAGTTCTCTTGCTCTCCCATCTTCAATTTTATTAACCACGCTTCTTTTTCTTTTTCTTTTTCTTTTTCTACGTGTAATAATTCCAGGCTCCGTCATCCAACCTACAAGCTTCGACGAATGTATTCCAACCTTCCCAACAACATCAAGAACGACAGCAATCTTCTGTGGAAATGTCTCAGCCTTCATCTTCTCTTCCGCCCGGTGGTATTCCTGCGCTCTTTGTCGGCAATAAACGGCATGTGGCAGACACAGAGTCAGCGCAACCTTCTAGTAAGAGAATGGCCTCTGCTAAAGGACGTCTTGATACTGACTCAAGGACATTACGAGCAGCAAACGAATTACCAGTTGTCGCCATGTCACAAGTGAGATTGGGCGTGCCTGTTGTAAAAGAAGAGCTGAAATTGGAATTAGTTAATGGGATAATCGAATGTCGGAACAAAGACAGTGAGTGATTGCATGAGCTTGATTGGTTTAAGAAATGGAAAGGAATATCTATAATTTTCGTGTCTTTTTCTGATTATCATGTGTTGATTTATTAGAAGTGTCAAAGATAACCTGTAGACGTAAAGGAGCCGTCGAATGGATAGACCAGGTGAATAGTCCCATATTGCTCATTGATCACAATGACACTTACACAACATTTTCATGTGAAGACGGAAGCGTTTATATTCACTCTTCTGGTGGAAGACGGTAAGCAATACGAAATAAGTTGCTCAAACCATCATAATGTTTCCAAAAGCTCATCGCAATATTTGATCACTTCAGCATATTTCCACCTATAATGCTCGAAGCGCCAGCATCCTTCATGGACTCTAATGATAAATATCTGCTAATATTAACTCAAATTGGCCTCATATACGCGTGGAATATTGCAACGCAAACTTCCATTCTCTCGGGCGTATCTCTGGCACCAGTACTCCAAGTTGCGACACTATCGTCTAATGAATTCACAAAAACAACCATAAAAGCCGCATCTATCACTCGCAACGGAGTTCCTCTTGTTCTTACATCGAATGACGACACCTGGTTATATCACATAACAATGAAATCCTGGATGCGCGTTGTCAATTCATCTTATACTGGTCCGGACTTTCCACCTCCTACGATTCCAAAATGGAAGTTAGGTCTAATCGGAAGAGCGGAAGAACAATCACGCACAAGAAGAGGTGTTTCACAGGGACAGATTTACCTCGAGAACCCGGGTGTTGGTCCGAGGGTGTTGGGACATTTGGAGACCGTGTTGAGTGCGGCGAAGATAATTGACAGTCCAAGTGAATTCAGACAATATTTATTTTTATATGTGCAGCAGCTTACTGATGCTCAACAGGAAGTAAAATTGAGGGAAGTTTGTAAGGAATTGTTGGGGCCGCCCGGGGGCCAAAGGTTAGTTGAAAAGTTGAGAGAAAGCCTTAATGGGAAGGTGGAAAATAGTCAAGATCGGTTGTATTTAAACGTGTAATATTTTTTTCTACCATGCTGATTGAATGTCTTTTGACTTCCAAGTACACAAAATGGTTGGGAGCCTACCTTGCTGGTAAGAATTATTCATAGCTTCATATTCATTCCGCATTATTCATACGCGATGTCTAACTCTATGAATGATATGAATATGTACATGGTCCTTTATTTAATAGGGACAATCTAAGCACCACTTACTACGGGATGTACTTGAAATTATCAGTCAGTGTCAATTTTGAATGATATCGAGCTTTCTCCTTTATGTGTAACTGGTCTGAGTAATTTCCCCATTATTTATCCTTTCATCTCCCAATTAGGTTCTAATCGTGCTTTACAACGAATCGTCGAGGAGTTTGATGAGGCACTCAAGCGTTTCTCACAACCCGTTCCAATGGAAATGTAATAAATTCGGTAAGATAATAAAGAGAAGCCCTCTTGCGCATGACTATATGAGCAAATTATAGTAAAGTTCCTTTGTAAATAAATAATTTTCAATAAAATTTCTGGTGACCTTTTTTCAGTAAATATGTATGCGAGAGTGTATATTGGACAAATGTACAATTTGATTGGCTCACTTCATTATATATATGTATATATTTTTCATATGTGTAGGTTGCTACTCATTTATCGGGATTTCTTTTGGTCCGGCCAAAATCAATTTTTTAAAAATCTTACATGTATCTGAAATAATAATAATTGATCCTACATACAAATGAAGGAGAAAGAAATTCAACTTGCAGAAGAGCGAAATACAGTCTCATCTTATGATATACGATAATACATGATAGAAAATAAAGTAGGAACTATATATAACTAACGTATGGAAATACATCATAGTAATCGATCATGAACTCAACAGTTCAGTTCTTTTACTCCTTGTACTCTTCAACAACTCTTGACGATTCCTCTTTTCGTTCGCCTTCTTAATGGTTTGAAACGGCAGAGTTCTTCCCCGATTAGGGGAATGCCGATGATATATAACCGGGCCGGTTACGATTTAACTCCCTGCTCATTTCCAATTCCAGGTGAATGTACATTCATAGGGGGCAAGGTCGTAGTGGAGATTGGACTATGCTGTACTGGGGTGTTGCTTCCTGTGGTACTTACAGGTGAATGTTGGCCTTGTGGATGCTGTAATTGGTGATTATGATGATGGTGGTGATGCGTAGGGGAAGTATGCTGTACTGAATGGTGAGTTGCAGAGCCAACCGAATTTTGAGACGAATGGGTGTGAGCGTTAGAAAGAGGAGAATGTTGCTGTTGTTGCTGTTGCTGTTGTTGATGTTGCTGTTGTTGATGATGTTGCTGCTGCTGTTGTTGCTGCTGCTGTGAATGAGATTGATGCTGAAGAGAAGCGGTTGCGGGGGCAGAAGAGTGTTGAGAATTGTTTGAGCTATGATGACTAGAAGTATTATGATGGTTTGTGGACGAAGTAATACCGGCGCTTGATCCAACGGGCATGGTTACACTACGAGGTTTAAGCACTTTCATGTATTTCCTTGCAGGATTCTCAGCATTCTGTCGTACTTTTTGCCGTAGCGCCTCCATTACATACTCATGATCGACTTCAGGCTCAGACGGTTTTGGACGTTTGTTATTAGAATTCACACTTATCGTGGATGTAGTGGCGGTCACCGGAGCGGATGTTGCTGAAGTAGGCGATTGGGTGTAATTGTGATCGAGAGAAGCCTGAGAGAAAGAGTTTTGAGAGTGACCTGCAGTCGGGGAGGAAAGTGTTTGGAATGGTGGAATGGATAACGTTAGAGATGGCCGTGAGTACGTATGGTTTTGTGGGTTGGTTATTCCACCGTAGTTAACATTCTCGTGAGGTGTAGCCGAACTTGGAGGTGAAAGACGAGCCGACGTGGGGGTTGTTGCCGAAAAGTGTGTATCTGATAAAAGTTTGACAGATGGTTACATGAGGATAACATAAGAAGATTCGAAACTAAAAGCGCATTGTGCGTAATTGCTTACCGATAGGAGGGGGGATATTTAGGAAAGGACTATGTGTTTCTGAAGGCGATTTACTACAAAAAAAAAATTAAAGACGAGCACATGAGCCGATAGTTACAATCGAGCCTGGTCAGGTTAATCATTTATACGGCAATCACATTTTCTCGTACACATACACACTGAATCCTGAGCTCAATGCTACATAAAGATTAACATCAAGATCAATACGAATTCGCTGAATGACAACTTCTCACACAATTGACAAAAAAAAGATGATATATTACGTGGAACTCCGGTAAATATTGTTGGCGGCTTTCTCTGTTCTCTCATCATCTCCAAATCCAGCTGTTTACATTGTAAACGAAGTTGCTCTGTTCGGAACTTTTCCTCCTCCGCCTTGCGCTGTTTTGATCGCGAGTTAGTACGCAAATGCAATGAAGAGTGCAATGGACCAGCCATAGTGAATAGATATACATAATATACACAGTTTGGAGCAAATAGATAATTGCAATGTCTTCAACCTACCTTGTCTTCCTCAGCCTTGGTGGCGAGTATTTGAGCAAGGAGATCGTTATTGTCCCTGTAAGTGTCGAGTATCTCGCGTAGTGAGAGATCATTCTTTGATCGGTGTGAAGCGGGCGACGGGTATGCGTATGTTGACAGACTGCGAGAGTCGGACATAATAACTGGAATTAGTCTGCCTAATGGTGGGAGGGAAGCAGTAGCGACAGTAGTGCTGTGGCAGTAGCGGGTAGTAGTAATATTCTATCTATGCAAGTAGCCGAACTTTGGTTTTTAGACAAGTTTAATATAGTATGTATGCCGCTCGGATTCTTTCTCTTACGATCAGTCTCGGCAAGTAAGAATTCTGGCCACAGATGATTGATATTTAACTACGGATGAGAATGTGTTTAAAAATAACTTGCCTATTGTTATTGTTAATTAACTTAATTAACGTGTTATGCGGGGCATTATGCTGCAACAAAATCAGTACAAATAGCGCCACAAAGATTTTCCAGGGTTAAAATTATCAAACCCCGACCTACAGCAACGCTTGGTGTCTCCCAAGTCTATTACTAATATTAGTCATAGCGGAAAAGTGAAATACATCGCCAATGATAATAGTTATTTAGACGGGGAAAACTCAGAATGTCGATCCGAATGTTTTTGGTTAATCATATTTTAGACTCGTGATATCCCCAATTATGGTTTAATTCTGCCCCACATGATTTAGCAGCTCTTTGCTAAAACCTCAACGTTATATCCTATACCAAGTCGCGGGCAACTATTCCCTCGAAAGTTGATGATCGTCCCAAATGGGAGAGAAAATAAGGGGATAAATTCTAAAAACCGCTTTTTCGATCCAGTATCAATAAATTTTATACGATTTATGAGGCAACGCATCGGATGAGATAAAGTAAAAACCATTATTATTATTATGTTCGCTACAAACACCGAATTGCCAAGATGTAATGCTCAAACAGCATAATTCCAAAATTTCATATTCTTTATCCGATGCGAAATATGTTGAAATTGTTATTTGATTTGAAAAAATATATTTGAGATTTTATTCGTTGCTTATTGGTTCAACTACATGCCTCGCAAAACTTGTTTTGTAACGTTCGTGCAAGTCAATTTCAGGGTTGGGTCTTTTGACTATTTTGTACAAGTTTCGACTTATATTGATAGTAACAAGTTTTTCGCCTTTTTCTTTTGCTTTTTCGAGTTGCTACAATTATCAACATACGAATTCTCTTGTGCTATTTCTAGTCAATTAGACCTGCAAAATATAATTCAGTGGCCGAAACACTACATAATAGGATGCATTGTCCTCTTGTTGTCACAGGATACATTATATTTGTTTACACCTACTATTAAAGGAATAAAGGCTTTTTGCATAATTGTGTAGCACTCGACCACAACACTCGTGATATAATGCACAGATTGGTAAGCATTTCTGTATGTCTTGTGCAACTAAAAGCGGTAAAGACTTAATTGATGATACACACATATATGTATTGGTATATATTGTTAAGTTACACGCACTGACGATTTTCGATATTAGCTTCTTGCGACAGTTACGCGAACAATCCATCAGTAATATAATAGTTTCATTCATTAAAAGTTTGCGAGTGGAACCCATATGAATCAAGTATCAGGGAAACGTGGTCTAATTTCCGCTCATACGAGCATTGTAAACAAATAATAAATAAAGGCTAACAAAAATAACTATGCACCTAAATTGGTCGGTGTGCTACTCTTCTTTTCTATTTTTCCATCTAATTCTCCAAAAATAATTCAGTCACTAAACCTGTTTCTCTGATTTTTTTTTCACGTCCTATTGGATCCAACCACTCAGTCTCCCCGCCAGGAAAAAGTAAAAAAAAAGTACAAAAAGTACAAAAATAGAAAAAATTATTAATTTATAATACGCAACACTTACCTTGTACCATCTTCTTCCACAACCTAATATTTGAAGTAAAACTTAAAGTATACAAGCTCTTTCTCGTACCCTAGAGACTGTGTAATAGGACAGCGTGAAAGTGTTCCAGGCACCTTTTATTAGTCGACAGGCTATGTTGTTGAGTTATTTCGCAGATAATTATTCGCCCATTCGTAAATTGGTGATCAATTACCCGTCTTAAAATTTTATTACTTTATTGTGGCTTTTCAATTCCTACTTTTAAGGTAGATCGTGTCCATGTTAACATGATTAATAATACTTAATTGTTCTTTATTAGCCATACTTTCTCAACTGATTCCACAAGCGCGTGCTTCAAATACCTTATTTTCAATAATATACTATGGGAGCAAATCGGCAGAAAATTAGAGGATTGTTTTCCAAGTCAACTTTTTATCAATGATTAATTATTCTGCATGCATTAATTCATTTTTAAAAATCTGATATTCTCAATGATACAACATTTAGCAACAAGTTACAAAGCATCTTACTGTTCGAGTTATCACGCAATATTTGTTTATCGACTACACAGTGACTCGATAATTATTCCCCAATGAGATGACGTTGGCCTAATATGTGATATACTTTTTTCCGAACGAATAATGACGATCCCGCGATATAACGCTATGATGATGTTATTGTGCGATTTATGTATAACAAAGCCTAGGAAATATAGCGAGGTTTGTAAATCATATTAAATCATTAAATTGTAGTTTGATGTATTGATCTCTTTTCGATGAATGAAGCGCGTTGCTCTTACTGATGTTCAAATTTATCGGGCTAAAAAAATCTTGACTCGAGCGAAGCATGAAATTTCACATAACACATGTATTTTTTTATTATAGCAAACTCTCGAATAATATGGCTGTTTCGGTCCAGCCCAATGGCTTCATCTTAAGCCACTGTGTATAGAATTGATTTGAAAGTCTCTCGGTAGTTACCCGCAGCTCGATCCAGACTATCGGCTGAGAAAGGGCTAATTGAAAAATAATAGTTGAGCTTAACTATTCGGTATTTCTGTATTTATCTCATTCACGCACTCATTTATTTATTACTAATGTATTTACCCACTAACTCATTCATTTCTTCCATTCATCTGCCTATACATTTTTAATTCTGTCACTTCTCACTCCCGCTTATCATGATTTTGTCGAGAAGCCAATTGGGCACTTTACGTAATCGGGTAACTAGATAACAGCAGCATAAGAAAAGGCTATAATAATCGGTGGATTGTTTAATGTTGCGATTATTTCTTTGAAAGTGTGAGGACAAAATGTATTTGCAATAAAACCTTTTAATCTGACTTTATTAGCAGAGAGTCTACCCCGGTGTTTTTTGCCGAATGTTGATGGTTAAGTCGTGTTTGATAGAGGAATTGTTTGCAAGCTGTTATAGTCTACACAGTGTGCGGGATTACTGTGTTAGGAATCTGGCTTTATGTGTTTTATGTGCGTTTTGGGAGGAGAGTTTGTTTTATGTGAAAAACAATATATAATAATAATGATGACCCTGCATATATATGCGCTTCCTTATCACCGATACCGGATGGATGCACTTGGCACTTTAACAAGTTTTGAGATTGTTGACCAGAGCCTCTATTGTCATAATAATTGTTTATCCACTTAATTCACGCAATTATCTCAATTCCGAGCACCTTAACGATGGGGATAATTTTGCAGTGATGGTAAAGACATGAGAAAGCAGCTAACCCAGTGTTACAGTTGACGCCAATTATTTCTTACGGTTTGTCAATGATTTTCAAAAGAGACTCTTTTTTTATCCAAAAACTATCGGTTTTATTCTTACCACAATCAAAGACTCATGGTATAAAAGAAGAATTTTACAGTATAAACTTGCCAAATCTATGTTGTAGCACTCCTTCTTTGATTGCGTCATTCAATATCGTATTTGAATCGTCAAACTCGAGAAACTGTCTGTTTGATAGGAAATTGCACTATCAAAATATGTTGTCAGCGTAGATCATTTAAACGGAATTATATTATGCATTTGGCGGACGGCCTGTTGTGGGCGTCTTCCACCGTTACTAAAAGTTATGTCGGCAGGATGTGACACGCTGTCTCACGCTCGCGTGCTCTCCACAGCCACTACTAAATTAAATAAATTAGAGACGTGTATAATACAAACAAGTAAGATAAGTCTCTTTCCACGATACGGGTCCCGTTTTATGTGATCTTATATATAATATTAATAATTATTAATTGGATAAAGCAAAATTTACGAATAAAAATAATTGTATTTACATACCACACCAAGAATCATCACTAGTTTGTGCTTTACTCTAAATTTTTAATATTATCGGGCCAAGTCGAGACGTCAGAATTTTCAAGGACACGTTGTCTTAATATATCTAATAATTTGAGTTTGTTTATTACTGAAAAAATTTTTTTCTAGCTGTACATTATCGGATGCTTGCACACCACCGAAAAAAAAGAAATGCTTTCAAGCAATTATAATGCTTTTTGCACGGCCTCAAATCTGAAGGAAACAAATTTATCAAAATATAAACTATTAATATCGATTCTAATATCACGTTTCTTCTTACATCTTGTTTCAGACTTGTTACTTGTAAGTAATGGCTAGTAAGCGAATAAATCTTCTTCCGTGCTTGTCGTGCTTTTTATGGTCAACCTATTTTTCTTATCTTCAAATCCACTTTTAATCTCCTTACATCGTTTCGTCATCTCTTCAACTTCATCTTCGCATTTTTGTAATAATTCTTCCAATGTTTTGAGCTTAGTTTTCAGTTCGCAATCACGTTCTGTGTACTGATTATATCTGGTAGGTATTTCCTCGCAGATCAAAGATCGTAAACGATCGTTAGATTCGAGAAAATCTAATCGTTTTCGTCCGAGATTTCCAAGCTGTTCATTCAAGCCACGAAACAATAGACGTATGTCGTAAATCACTAATAAGAGTGAGTTGATATTGGGCTTGGAGGAGTATGGATCCGGATTAGACATTGAAGTTGAGTTTTCTCTGAGTAGTAAATGTTTATGACAGCTCAGCAATTCACACACGGAAGAGGCTAGATTTATACACTTATCAAACCGCAGTGATGCGTAATGACTAATTGCTAGATTCAATATGGATATTGTCATTTCTACTTTCATTCGAATTATTTAAAGGCAAATCGACAAAAACAGATCAGTACTTTGTTTGATAATCTATATATAGATTGATCATCAATTAGGATGTCCCAAAAACTGCATACAATAACTTTACGATACAAAGGCCAAGAGCTGGCGTAATCACATCATAAAAGATTGATTGTCTAAAGGTTGCATACATTTCTCCTTCCACTTTGTAACATGCATCAGTGAATTCTCTCACTCGCTTTGTTTATCACTAGAATATTTAAGTTGTGCCAATCGGCTTATTGCATGCACGTCTATATTTCGTCAGTCTATACGAAAGAAAGATTAATTATTCAAGCAGACTAGATAATTAGTCATAATATCTGAACAGATATTTCTGTATTATTTATCACAAAGAGGTGAAATAACTTTTTTTTTATAAAAAACTCTTCCAATCGCTAAATTATCCTGGATATTCAACTACCGTTACTCGCTTTTCGGTTTCACTTTATCAGTTTGATTATTCAACTTATATTGTCTACCATTTATAAGCACACTAAAAATTCATTAGCGGCTTCCCAAAGTAAACTTGCCGCGGCTATATGAATGTTAAAAATATCTTTCTGTCAAACTTGCAAGCTACTATGTTCCAGTGACGCTGATAGCGTGGAAGACGATAGTATATTAAGTAACTAATAATATTATATGTTAGATAATCCGGTTGTAGGGATACTATCCATCGCGATGTATTGGTGATACTTTATGTTCAACAAATGGCTGCAATTTTATACGGTCAGATCTCTTTATACCGGATACGAATGACACCCGTCGATATAATTAGATGTGAACTGTATCTATTTTGAAAATAAATCTTATTTTATTTCATCAGTCACCTGGTGCTGATAAACCATCTTTATTAATTCTTTCTTTTTGGAAAATGATAGGCCCATAATCGACAGCAAGATCGAGCTATATTTACAAATAACTTGATTAATTTTTGGTGTTTACCGAATTTTTCTTCGCAAAGATATAAATTACTATTGTAATTAAAATTTTTTTAGTCAGTGCTTCATTTAGTGGTATACCTACAGATGTGTCTATATTATAAACTTTGGCTCTACTCAAATCGATGAATTCGTAAAGAGGTGTGAATGTAGAAACAGTGCTGACGTGGCTTACCAAGTTAAAAATGCATTTAAATAATACTTTAACTATCAAGCACAAGTAAATTTCAGGAAGCGCGCAATGTTATTTCCAACATGTTGTATGTGGTATAATCAGAAAAAAGAATTCAACGCGTAATGTTTATTAATGACTTGATATCGTTTGTACAACAACTGCAGATAAAACATCTTGCGAACAAGCGAGCCCGATAATATAACATTAAAGGTAAGCCATCTATCCTAGTTGTTCCTTCGAAAAATGCAAGTTATATGCTGGGCTCGCTATTTGTCCTAATTCACTAAACTAAAGCAGTTTATGGTCGAAAAAGTGGAAAAGAAATGTCGGAATCAATTCTAATAATGTTATAATGAGCAAATTCCATATTAACTTTATTAATAGAATTGAATTCTTTCTGACGTTCGAACAAATTATTGTTTGCTATGACTGTTACCATAAAGATCTTGTTTTTTAGACAAAATTAAACAGGCCTTAAACCTTTTTCAATGGTACAAACGTAGTTGTTCCACTTCTTGTGTTAATTTTGTGTTGGTTTCTTTAAAATATGCTAATAATTGATTGAGTCGTAATATCTCATTCTGTTGTTCTTGCACGGTTGTTTCTAGACGTTGAACATATTCTACAGAGAAATAATCAAACGTAAACATAATATTTCCACCATCTTATTATAACGACTGCAATAATGGAATAGGAAGAGACATATTAGCTAAGGTTTAATCATGGGCAATACCCTTTCTTCGTGCTCGAAAGTTTCTAGCAGAAATCTTGTTCCGCTGCCTTCGCCTTTCCTCCAAAGACATTTTCTGATCTACACCGCTTTTCCCCTGCAGAGAAACATGAATAACGCTATTTTCGTTTTGCTTTATAGTATTGTCCGTATCAGAACTTTTAGCAGCAATAAGTAGCGGCCTCGAAGACTGTCCAGTCTTTTGCGTAGAAGCGACAACTACATACAGCAGTGGAGGGGTTTATTTGATTTTTCGTTTGACCACTAATGTCAGTAACAAACATAAATTAATTATACTTGCCGCCAGTTTCAGTTAATAGACTCGGGCAGGTAGCACCTGTAAAGTCAACCGGCAAATTTGACATAGCAACACCGTCTTCTGTAATATTACGCAAGTCTATATCCATACAAGTGTTGAATGAGTCATAAATAACAATGTTTCCTCTTTGTTCAGGTGAGGTCATCTTGAATAACATCAGTAACATACCGTGTCCCGCCGAGAGGTTTTATCATGGCGTCAATAGATTTGATTGGCTGAATCATCAACGAATAATGTACGAAACAGATTACTGAAAACGTTCTCGTTGTTGACTTGCAGAGAAAAAGTCGCCCCAAATGTAAATAATGGCTTTAAAAGTTTGTGGGTGGATCGGCTGTTATTCTACACATAGCAGATAACGGTGAATGCAAGTGCTGCAAAGTGGATTATTTGTTTGCTGCACGCGTATTTCTCTGTCACTATTATAATTATCGTGATCTGCGCGTAGTACGGAATAACTGAAACAAGAAAGGTTACGTTATTCCATTACAGTTATACAATCAACCTTCAGAGTTGGCCGATATAAATTCAATGTTCACGGCAAGATGTGTGTATGCATGACTTGTTTGGCAGCTCTGAGCTTAATGAAACTGTTGTGTCTGAGTCTTAGTCGTTCATGAACATAATTGAACGTCTGGTAAAGTTCAAAGAACCAAATATTAAAAGTAATGAATCATTGTAGTTTTAATTAGAAAACAATACCTATTATAAGCTATGGGAAGTCATAGATAGAGTCGATGTTGTCATGGAGCTTGAGTCGATATCCCCTTTTTCCGCGGGGACCGTAGACACAAACTCCAGTTTGGGCAAAAATGCTAAAAGTACAACCTGCCCGACCTTAGCACGGGTGTGTGTGTGTGTAGAGAATTTGTTACGCACTGTGTCAGTCGTCCGAATCATTCGAGAAAAAAACATATGCGAAGGAGAATGAGGAAGAGAGATTCTACACTACATATACGCCGATAACATTCTTTGATTATGCAAGCTATGCCTAATACTAATTTACATTTATAACAAATAATGCTTATGAATATCTGGCAGTTCAAGCGCTTGAAAACTGCAATAATGGTTCTACAGAGTACAGAGGGAACGTATATTGTGGGTCCAACTCTTTAAAGATCTTTTGGTGGACTTCAGACTACAAAGTGACATGGGTAACGGCTTCTTTTTTTTTTTGAAAAGAGGCCGTGATTACTCTTTGATAAATTATTTCATGAAGGCGGAAAAGTCAAGCCATAAAAAATGGTTTGGGTGCTGACCAGATTTTATAATGAATAATACATATCAGATAGTAATAGCATTGCTTGAATCCCGTATGGAAGTTGATGACAAAAAATAAAAAGAACGATAAACAAAGCTCCTTCGAATGATGAAAGATGCCCCACGTTCGTTTCACCCGTAAGATAGGGAAAAGAAATTCCAAATTCAAAGGTCTCAAAAAAAAAAAAAACTCGAAAAAATATTGATTATTAATAGCGGTAAGTTTGTAATGAAGTGTTTCCATCGAGAATAAATTATAAGAGTTTTCGAAATATCTTTACAGGAATGGACACGCCGTTTACCAAGTCCGAGACGTCAATTCTGCTCCAACAAAAGGTCAGATAGAAATATATTGGACCTTTTGACGGGGCTCTTCCGCTTACGGGTACTATATTTTATTATTCGTTTTGGATTTCCAAGACAATGAGCTCACAGCTTTTTATTAGAATGTCATCAGCAGATCCATACGATGGTTTAAAAGTGAGGCTAAGAGACTGTTAAGATTCTTATGTCAATGATGTGGATATGGGGATAGTGAAGAAGAGGAAGAAGAACAAACTCCAGATGATGCGACACAATGAAGCAGTAAATGCCCTCACAGTACCATTTATTTCTTTCTCAAGAAAATTTTTAATACAGCTTATTAATAATTTTTGTACGATCTCAAGAATGAAGTTTCGCGGATATTCGCGACTAGTTGAAGGTACAATAATTTATATTAATTTACAATAAAAAATATCTCAAAATGCATAGATTACCCCCTAATCACCAACCAAGCTCAACCTGGTGGTTCTTGCAAACTTTGTTGATTCTCGGGACGTAAAAATAATAGTATTATTAACGTATTGCCAATGCGCTGATTCTCTTTACGTGTGGTAGGTTTAACCTATAATTACGAGAATGCAATAGCAATTAGAGACAAAGAGTGGTAATTATACCCCATCAACAGAATTTCGAAACTGATACTCACCAAGCTGGCATATAATTTTCGGGTACTACGGCCTGCCTGGGTGCCGGAACTTCAAATGGTCCCGAGTCCTCCAGTGGTGTAGTGTCGAGAAGTAGAATATCGTTCTTATCATTGGCAACAACTCGGCTTGCGACAGCTTTTAAAATTTCAGGACTGATTGGATTCTGTTAAATTATATAAAGATAATTAGTATCGATTTGGAAGATAACAACGATTTACTCTAAACCCCACATACTTCATAGTCAGCAACGAAATAATGACTGATAAGCTTTTGGATTTGAGTTGGAGTCAATATCCAACAGACATCGTAAATTATCTCGATATCGCCTAACGATGCCTAATTTCACAGCAATTAAACCTGGGTTAATAAAACGAAACAAGTAATTTCCGTGCAGGTAGAAGTGATTTTTACCTTCTTAAGCTGTAATAATTTCGTAGCTTGCATTAGATGTTCCAACTGTAATGTTCCTTCTGGCATTTCATGACTCTTACACCATTCTTCGATTCGTGTCATATTATACTGGATTTGCATTGCTTCAGAATGGAATATTAGCGTTAACTTGTGCATACAAGAACAAAAGCAATTGCATAAATTAACAAAAGCATTTGCATAAAACTCACCTCGTTTCCATGAGCAGAAGTTACGTCTGTATACAAGAAAGCAAAAACATTTTATTATTACAATGAAGAAAAGGACGTATTTTTACACAATTCAATTAATTATTACCTCATTAGCAAGTCATTGAACGACGTCACACCAATCAGTTTCAATAGCTCTGTAACAACTTGTTGAATGACAGTCATCTCAACGTAATAAGATTTCATCGCCTTCCAGACTTTGTTGAGGAAGTTCAACAAATCATCCATACTGAACGCTGGACTGGTCTGCCCTCCGATAAATTTGGTAAACAATCGCCCCTCTGTTGTGATGAATCCAGGCAAAGACTGGCTTTCAACAACAGCGGGTATAACCATCTTATACAGTCGTTTCTTCAATTCCTTCATCCAGGTGTGATAAATGTTATACTCCAAGCTCTCCAAGTCATGCTTTACTATTGAAACCAGTCTCTCATAGTCGTGCCATTCAAAGACCCTTCCATGAGCGTCTGCAGCGGGGTTCACGCCAGCCAGCATATCATTTTCGGCAGATGCTGCAAATGATAACAGCTCGTGGACGTTGGACAACCAATATGCTCCCGGTAAAATCGCATCCTCACCTTGCGTATCCTGTTATTTTAAATTCAAATTAATTGATTAGAATTACTTGACAAATCTCCATAATTGTTCCTCAATATTAAGCAACCAAATTTTTGCGCTTACCATAACATGACTTTGAATAGTTTTCATGACATTGGCAAATAATCTTTCGGACTCTTTAATGAAACCGAATTTCCACATTTGCTGTGCCAAGAGACTGATCAAACGGGCCGGGAATAATATTTCTTTTTTATGCGGAGGATTTTGCAGGCTTGGCAATGGTATTTTTAATGATGTAATCAGTCCATTAATGACTTCGTCGTCGAGAGAGTCCTCGTCCTCAAGCATTTTCATAATCTGCAAAATAAAATCTCGTTAGTAATACAGAATACGCAAGACTATTTGGATCTCACATGACTAACCTCTTCTTCAGGTTCCTCGGTGCCAGGTAAGTGAATACGTCCTCCAGAACGAAGTTTTGGCACAGGCTGCATGTATGATACTGATACCGGTCTTAACCCTCCCTTTTTGGCTTCTGCGGTTGCTAAATCCAATGACGTTTTGGGTTTTTGCTTTGCAATCTCGTTCGGACCCCAAGATTCTGCAGAACTGTGTCTTCGTCCACGACGCTTTGTAGACGGAGGTTTCAAAGAGGTGTTAGCAGCAGTCAAGAAGCCGTTCTCAAGTCTTTGTTGCGGAGGAGGCGGTGACATCCCTCTACCAGAGGTCTTAAGTTTGGTCAATTGTTCTCGAAGAGCAGCAATTTCTTGTTTCAGAGCCAGGACAGTTGCAGGATCCTCTGTGCCCTTATATTTACTAACTGTTGTACGTAATTTGGCAACTTCATCGTCTTTTTTATTCAGCTCGTTGGTAAGATTTTCAATTTGTGTGTCCTGTGCCTTGATTTTCTCCAAGGAAGTTCGGTAACGGGCCTCAATAGTTTGGTTTTCCTCTTGGAGCGTCTTGAATCCACTAAGAGATACCGTAGCCATCTCAGTCTCTCGCTTGAGTGTCTTGAATTCAAGCTCAAGTTTCTCATTTTTATCGGTCCAAGCTCGAACTTGGGACTCCAGATTGGAATTCCTCGCTTCGAGAGTCTTATTCTCCTTTATCTTCTGCTCAAGTGACTGTGTTAATTCAATAACCTTATTCTCCAATCTGTAAGAGACTTCCTTGTAATGGCTGGCAGAGCGCGCTTCTATCTTTAGCTTCTTAAGCTCAGAACGTGCCATGCGTCGACGAAGACATGATTGAATGAAAATAATGTGCTTGAGCGTATCTTTATATTGACGACGAGCGACACTGCAATAGAATTCAGGAGGATAAATTAATAACCATTATTAGAAAATGCAAAAACTAAACTTCTACTTACCATCCGCGATAGACTTTCTGGATCTTAATGGCGGCCGCTTCTCTACGCAAAGTTTCATACGTCCGTCTGGCCAACACACCACGACCAACTATTGCAATTTAAGTCTAATTAGCTGAAAGACTATTATCATAATAATAAGTTTGGAAATCACCGTGCATACCTGTCTGTAACTTAAGAATGACCGATTTAGTGCAAAGGTAACGTTGACGTTGCTTCTGTGCTCTCCAATTCTTCTGAATCGTAATAGCTCCTTTCTCGCGGCGAAGACGCTCGCGCTCTTTTATAGCTAGGCGTTTGCGACAAAGTGCTTGGGTCTTTACAATTGCCGACTTCAGAGCTTGATATCTCTTTTGATGCATATGTCTAAGCATGTTCTTCTGCATTAGGGTAACACACTCGTTAAGTCTGTCTTGACGAAGTTTCTCCAAGAATGCCACCTATAGACAGACAAGAGGCGTGATATTAGCCTTCGCACGGCCGTTACACCTTGCTACATCGAAATGCTCACCATTCCAGCACGGAAGAATATTTTTGTGATACCGATTTGGTACTTGTCCTGTTCTTTAATCGAAGAATCAAGTATCAGAGAACAGAGCTTGCGCGATTCGAAGATCCAGTTGTCAGAATGGACGAGCATGTAATATCTGTCAATTAAAACAATCATCAGTACGTTATATATAAAAAATATATGCTAGTCGACATTTTTTAATATAACCTTTGAACTAATTCATCAAACGTTAGTCTGGATGGGTAGCCGGCACAACTGATCCTAATGGTTTCCAATACACCACAAGCGCGTAGTTGAGAAAGAACCATCTGGGGTTCAAACTCCCAAGCAACCTTTGCTTCGTTTGGTTTTATGCATCTAATATAATGAACATTGGTAGAATTAATAGTTTCCATAAGACTTATCAAGGATGCCTACACAAATTGAGTGACGTTAGTATAAAATTTTAGTGTTACTCTGGTTATTTCCAAATGCTTGCAGTGAACAAAACGGTTAGAATATCGTTTATCTTACCTTGAATATTGTCCCTAATGTAGGCTTTTTCGAAATAACACTTGATCTTTTACCATCAGCAGGCTTTAAAAAAAAGAAAAATGAAATGTAAACGGGAGACTTAACACTTCTTAACGACATATTATTATACTAGTGAATAACTAAATACCTTGGCTGCGGGCGCTAGAACAGCAGATCCTTTAGTGAGCACATCTTCGAGAAAATCAAATTCAGTATTTTTCAATAGATTAAGATGCTCGTCAGGAACAGTATCTCTGTTTTTTTCTAGGAAACCCTCGACATCGTATGTAACATCATGAGCGTAGTGACTAACAGTAAATGCACTGTTAGAGAACCGTGGTTTTTGGAAGTACTTCTTGTACTGTGGAGTATTAAAGTTCTGATATAGCTTCGTACACCAGACAGCGTCACTACCACCCGGCATACGACTGTCCTAAATTGTTTTTGTTGATCGTTTAATTCCTAATACATCTTGTATATGAAGTATGAATTGATGAAAACGCATAAACATACCTCATCTAAAAGTGAAAGTATTCCTATCTTTCCTTCAATCATATCGATACAAGGCTGATTGTCACTGAACTCAATGAAAGTCCAATTAATTTGCTCGCGAACGTAATCCTAATTTCGGTTGAACGTTATTCAATGTTATTAAATGGTATACATCAACAAATACCTTTCACAGTATGCAGTCATCGATTGCCTACCTCTTGCTCTAATTTGAAGACATGTTGATTAAACTAACAACAGTAACATGCGGATTAGAAACGACGAATACAACATAAATGCAAAGCTAGAAAACAATTTCCCTGAAGTTAAAAACTCACTTGCTGTTGTAATTTCTCATTAGCATAGTTAATACAGAACTGTTCGAAAGAGTTTTTCTTGAAATGCTCAAATCCGTATATATCAAGTACACCAATAAAGGTACTAAGATTCTTGGCAACTTCTTCACCAGACAAACTCTCATTGACTACGTTCACCAGCCAGTCAAATAAGTTTGCGTATATATACTTGGCAACTGAATCCCTAACTACTGTGGCCTGCTGCGCATTTAAATCTGTAACAATTTTCTCATTACGAGTAGATATTTGTTTTTTGACAATCCATTTAGCGAATTCTGATCTATTTATACCCAGTAATCTCGTAGCTGTAATTAAGGCGGTATCTGATTCCGAGACCATCGATTTATCTCTCACAGCAGTTATGTTTATATTTCCAATGTGCAAGAGAGCAGCACAAAGCTTGAATATTTGCCATTGTGTCTCAATAGTTATACCGACTATTGATAGCGCTTTTTGAGTAAGCCCGAATTCCTCTTTATCATTAACACCCTGTATTACTCCCTGACCACCTTGGCGAAGGTAATGGAACTGTGAATAGTCGCCAAGATCAAGGTTTTTCTTTTCGGACGGAGGTGCCCCAGCACAGAGCTAAATATATCAACGCAAGATGAGTGATAAAATTTACTAAACGAAGAATAGCCAGTTACCAGCTACAGACATAATAACATAGCGTACCTGATAAAAAATATGATAATTTCTTTCCGCTTCGGGTTGATAGACTAATCTTGATCGTTCCAGTAAGTATGTCCTAATTTTTGCACCGATAATGTTGGTGGCATTGTCGAATTGTATCTGATAAAAACGAGATCAAATAAATATGTATTCCCGATAAATTGGGGATTGATTGGACATTTCATGGTTTGTTAATAGAAATTGAAAACTGACTTCAAGATATTTGCCAAATCGAGAACTGTTGTCGTTTCTTGTGGTTTTAGCATTACCAAACGATTCCATAATGGGATTTGTAGCTGAATGTAATTTTCTTATATTAGTAAATCGCATTTACGGATACTGTATGTATATTTAGAATCTTTACCTAGAATCTGCTCCTCCACTTCGCTCATGCCTGATCCACTGCTGGCAACTTTTTTTCGAACTGGCCTCTCTTTATCATCTACAGAAGCAAAGTATCGCATGATATACTTTGCGCTCTGTGTTTTACCAGCACCACTACAACAATAATCACATGATTACTGGCCATAAATTAATATCAGAATACAACAATCAATCATAACAAGCTTACCTCTCGCCTGATACAACGATCGTCTGATTTTTTTGATCACGAATCATACAGCGATAAGCATCTTCGGCAATCGCGAATACGTGAGGCTCCAACTCTCCGGGTTTTTTTCCAGAATATGCCTGAATGATATCTTGCGAGTAAAGTGATACTGGCTGAAATGGATTCGTAGCAATAAGAACAATTCCAGAGTATGTATAAATAGTGCGTTGATAATATCTGGTTCTAATTGTATGAAGAACTATGTAGAAGCAAGGGATCAGTATGTGGATTTTTACAAATACACGTGACTACGGATGATATTTGAGTTACAAACCTGCTGGTTCATTAAGATAACTGAGGCTGGTCAAGTCGTCTACTGCCTCCAGCATAGGAGGGTTACGTAGTGGGGGGAGGTTGCCATCGGTCGTAGTAGTATTAACATCAACCTCCTGTTAGCACATTGCATTGGAATCAAATTCTTAAATTAGTACTCTTATCTTTTGTAAGTATCTATATCATGAATCAGTAGGGGATTAGGCCGTGTAATGGACGAGAGTCGGCCCGTGTGCATTCGCTTTACGTTTTCCGTTTAATATATCACATGATATGATGAATGAATTGATTGTGATGAGATACAACCTTGCCTCTTTCAGTTTTAAAAGTTAATTTGACTTTCTCGCCATTTACTTCTTTCGTTACCAGCTCCCCACTAACCCAGCCTTCTTTGTCATCTGTTAGCCAAACTTTAGTTCCTTTTACATATATTTCTAAAGGGTGCGATGCCATAATCTATGTCTTAGTTGAGAGAAAGATAGGTGGGGAGGGGACATAGAAGGCCGTAAAGAGGAACAATTATGTTTGTATATACCCCCTGAATACGGAAAGTTAGTTTTGTGTACCGGACTGCAAACCCAGCAGTAATTACCACGAGATACCCAATTAGGTGATGGTGTCACAACAGTTAATAAGATTGAATATGAAATGTCTGAAGTTTAATTATATTAAATGTGAACTATTAACTACATTATACAACTATATCGTCAGGCTATCTGATATCTGCGTTTTCATAAAAGCCGCGAAATCTTTAAAAAACCTATCCAGCTCATCTGTAGTAAAAACGTTTATTACGAAAGTATCCCATCATATTACGGACACGAAATATACAAAAATATCATATTACAACAAAAAGAAACGAAAAAAGAATGGACAACAACAATTAAAACTATTAGACCATGAGCCCGCGAACCAAAGCAACGGGCCGGCTACAGGATACCGCTATCTCTTAACGCATTCTGTAAGATGGTTTCCTTAACAGCCGCAAAGACAAGCCTATCGGGCAGAAAGTGATAATTCAACACCAGTCCTATCGCTGTCAAAAAAAAAAAAAGAGCTCACATCAAGGACTACTTACCGTATCTATATGATAAGAATGTAAAATTATAATCGTGAGTATGAATAGTCAACGATAGTACAGTTACATCAATACATCGACAGCTAACCCAAAACAACATGAATAAAAAAAGAGTAATTTCTTTACATATAAAGACTATAACAAGTATCAGATTGAATAGAAAACAAGTAAAACGAAAGTATAAACAGAAGAAGAAAAAAATGAACTGGTAAATACATATTGATACTATGTATATTAACACGCTCCCATTTGACTAGTTTGTCTTTACTTACATTTGATGTATCCGTTGCCTGTGTAAGACTAAATCGATGACAGACACGAGAATGCCAATTAGCATGACAGAAACTTTAGTCGATAAATCAGAATCACGATGTAACGCTACGTTCCATCATTATAATATTGTATGTCGCATCTTAGTAAATGCACTTACTGTGGATATATATTAAGTCTCGCCCTGTTAGTTTGTGTAAATCGCCATAGTATGTACTTAGCAGCTTTATTAATATCTGGCCCGCCTACATATTACTTTGGTGAATATAATCGAATAAAACGCTTATATAAAGCGAATAGCATTACGCGCACTTACCAGTATAATCTGGGAAATAATTTTCCAGTGGTACTCTTGGTAGCTTCGCTCGGAACAAGTCAATCTTATTGAGAAACAATATAATTGATGTTCGCAGAAACCATCGACTATTTATTACCGACTCAAATAGTATTAAACTCTCTGCCATTCGATTCTACCGTTACGAATACAATCCGTTGAATAATTTTAATAAAGAAATACGAAAAAAAAGTCACCACGATACTTGTCACGCAAAGACCTAAAATACCTGGTTAGATTCTTCCAGCAACACTTGATCATATTCGCTGAGTGCTACACAGAATATAATAGATGTTACCGCTTCAAAACAATGGATCCACTTCTTTCTTTCAGAACGCTGACCTCCGACATCGAACATGCTAATTGCATCATAAAATAAAATAAGCAATAGTTATATAATTTAAATAACTTTAACGTGTTCACATATGACAACATACTGTATGCTCAGCTGTCCCATATTGTATCTTGTTTCTGTTATTCCTGTAGTCTTTGTACGCGCTCGTAAGACGTCAGCCTCATTCGGGATATAATTGGGACTGCCAATTCGTCGTACTTCATCGAAAAAACTGCATAAAATGTTAACACTGTAAATCGGAATAATCTCTCGCAAATAGTACATTAATAGTATTATACCCACTATGGCGCTGAATCCATTAAATAAAATTGACTTTGCTTTTCAAGAACTTCAGGTATTATCTTGTCTTGCCATATGGAATGGATAGCTTCGACTATTTCGGGGCTCAGTTGAAAGTGAGGGTCAGATTCAACTTGGTATTCTAAAATACTCTGGATATTAGTCTAAAAAATACGAGTAACAATGGTTCAGCATATGTTTTCACCCATAAATCAGTAATATGACTATTAAATAATCGCTACTAACTTTGTTCATTGGATTTTTAGGCTCCAGCCGAAACTTCCGAAGAGCTTTTGAAATATCCTGTGCACAATCTATCAGGTTCTTATAAACCGTTATCCTGTAAAGTAGAAGTTCTTCTTTTGTATAGCCATTCTGATGTATAATTTTCATTTGCTTAACGATTGTCGACTTTCCCGATTCTCCTGAGCCTGTGTAGAACATATATATGCTATTGTTAAACCATCCACTCCCAATTCATCACTTGATTATAGCGTCGGCATGTCAATACTCTCAGAACGAGATTCTCACCTAGCAGAAGAATTTTGCACTCTTTCTTGAATCGTCGGCTATCCTCTTCGATTTGCTTATCAATTTGGTAACTGCGTGACCGAGCTGCTTTCTCTTCCGCAGACAAACAGACGCCCATTGTGCTTATAAGGTATTTAGTATTAAATAAGGATGGTAGGTGGTGTATTTAAACAATCGGAAATGTGTACAGCTCAAAGCGAGATTATATGCATTGGGTAAACAGTATATAACTTTGGATAGTGAAAGGAGAGTGAGGTAAATGGTGTTTAGCGTCAGAGAACAAGAGTAAATTAGTTGTAGATAGAAGGTAGACTAATTGTAACATAAGACCAACAAAGCACACTGCGTCCCAACATTTGACGCTCCGAGATCTCCGGATTGGCCCAATGTAGTACATCAATCAACACGACGTATATACATAGAAGAGTCGTTTCAGTTGACACACAAAATGCAAGAACTAATTGCAAAGGACTACAGTAATCGAATAACAATGATACCACGTTCGTTACACCCAGCAATAACCACGGAAAACCCCAAGACACACGCATCAAATATTGAACAAAGTATCGTGTCTATTATATACAAAGAGATGATATGCGTACTTGTATGGCCACATTCGCTGAGCCTCCAAGATTTTAACCATAGACTAAATTCACCAGCCATTATTATAATATCATAATACACTTTTATACATTCCACAAATCCTCATCCGACAACTACTCAACTTTTCTACAGCCGCCCTTTAATCCTTAAATCCCCATATTTCAAGGCCCATGCAATCAAATTGCGGTGTTGAGGATAAGATTTCATTATCAAATGTCTCACATGCAGCAGAGGTGCCTTTTTCAAGACCTGAATCAACCCACAGGCCAGTTCGTCCATCACTATTAATATAAATCTTCGGGTTAGAACGAAAACTCTGAAAACATTCCTGTCATTTAATTTACATACCCCCCGCCAATAGCAAAATAATCAATAGAGCAAAATATCAAATATTCGTTTTTTCCGCTCCACAGGTAGAATCTGACCATAGGTGTTTCTTTGTTCACATGTATACATTTCCACAAGAAGCTATCAAATTCGAATAGTCAATAAACGCTATGATATGTAATTTTATAATTGCAAATATGTAAGCGTACCATTCGCCCGTGCCATAAAAAGACGTGCGTGGCCTGAATGGATCTGTAACGAAAGCGCCGAAAACCTGTAACGGAGACTCGGGCATTAGATGCAGCATGTCCATGTTTCAGTCACATTCGGTACATTAACACATTATTTTACCTGGTCGTCTGCATCCTTGATTGCCAATATTAGTGGACCTTTGTCTTTTACTTTGCGAAACAATGTAGTCATGCTCGAACCATCTTGATCGAGACTATATAATAGATTCCATTTTGGCGCTATCCGCGAGATCCGAGGGAGTTGTTGCCGTATCTATGGATTAAAATTTGTGGCACAGTAAAACTAATGAATTGACCTTATCTTCAACGAAAAGAAGTATCAGTTGACTTAGTAACATCTCGAATAGTTATGCCATTTGAGACATACCCTCTCCAAGATAATAGAATACATTAAGGAGAATTCTATCAAATATTTATGCAATTCATTAATTCATAAGCAATTACTATTCTTCACGGTAAAATGGGTTTTATCCACATTCAAATTTGACTATCTCCTTTTGTAACGTTCCCTTGACTCTCGCCACTCTTTTGCGGCTGAATTGAAAAAAAAAAAGATAAAGACATCAGTTTTAAACACAATACCTGTTCGGCAACATTTTCATCCAGCACAGGCTCTGTGTCAGGGTCTCTGCCGACTAATTCTACTTTTGCCATTTCGTCATCCGCTACAATAAATTCAAGTGATTCCTGTGATGGCGCTTTCTGTGATAAATTCAAATCGTGGGGTTTCCAATCGAAGAATGAAACGCGTGTAGTGTTAAGTTTCGATAGTGACCTAATTGTAGTTGTCAGTAGGCTTAGTGAGTTAGCATCGTTCTGTGGCACCATGGTCGGGGCAGTCCTTTGCGAAAGTCTCTTGGTTCGCCAAAAGAACAAATTACTCTTTTTTGCAAACAACAAACTGAAAAAACTGTCCACTGGCGGAAAGAATGCGTTACAAAGTACAGGTGAGTTATTCAGCGATACCGTGTAGTTATTGCGGTCTGTTATTTCCCAAAAAGACTCTGACGAACTTCGTCGCGGAACTAGAGTAGCAAAATGTCCTTTTCGCTTTAAAGGTTTGTCTTTTGGTTGACTTGTCTGTTGTTCACAATAGCGCTCTAGCCGGGACCTCTCGGACCACAATGTTTTACTCTTGTGACAGTTATCATAATCATGTATCGATAAAGGTAAAGAATTATCTTTCTGGATGAAATTGGCCATTTTCTGCAAATGAATAAGAGGTAGCCCTTACCTTTATGTGAGCAGCAAACACTACGAATGAAAGTGACAAGACCTACGGAGTCCCACGCACAACCCGTAAACCAATTGCCAAAAAAGGTATTGATGTCTGATAGGGCCGCACAATGCTCACATGGCTTTCCTGAAATGACTCTTGTTCTGTCCTTGAGCAACCCTTGATAACCAATCAATAAAAAGATGCTATGCACGAAGAATGGTCGAACAGTGGTAAGCAAAGGTCCCTACACAGATTCATCGAAGTTAAAAATAGATTTGATGTCTAACATAGTTGCTGTTACTCTCACATTGCTTTATCGCTTGACACGAGAAACTCGCAAGGATGAGAGTGAATTCGACAAGTCGGCAAATATTATCGATATCACGTGAAGTCAATAATTTCGCGACATTTGTCACATACTATTCCAAATTAATGTTAGTTATAATCGACAAATAAATGGCAGAACATGCAGTACCATAGTGGGGGTATTATTATCTGCTTCAGAAAGGGGTTCGCTTTTTTATCCTTATTGTTCTCCTCTCCCGTCCTTTTACAAAAAAGTCGTAAATTGATTCTTGCAATACTAATACTTTACCGGAAGCGGATTATTGTTGGATTATTGTTGGATTATTTTTTAACGTTGTAATATCCCCTTCTAAGTTTCTTGCTCTTCCCCGAAGTCGACACATTTGGAAAAAACGATTAACACGCGTTCTGTTTTCTATATTCAAAGTTGTGAAAAGCTTTTAACATTCTCCGAGCATAATAGCTAGTCGGAGTGTTTTTTCTTTAATTCTCGCTATGAGAGTAATGAATGTTATGTCAAGAACAACGGCGATTTCAATTAAGGATTCTAGTCATTGAAACGGGTGCTGCGGTTCAATAGTAGTGAATTGCTTTAGGAGAGCTTTGATTGGGTTTTTTTTTCTTTAGGTAATATTTTCACTTGACAGTTCTGCTTCACTGTCAGCCTCTTGTTCTTTAATTGGCACGTAAATTTGTGAGTAATCGCAAATTTAAAACACTATTTGTTTTCTCGTACAGTTCTCGATGATCCACTATTAATCATAAACGCAAGAGCGAAAAAAACATGACAATTGCTCAGAAGCGTGAATTATACAAAAACTGAAACTTCTCAGACCGATTGGCGATTGAGCATTGTGTAAATCAGATACTATCGCTGGTATCTGTCAAATAAAATTAAATGACTTTGGCCAACAAAATGTTGACTTCTCAAAACGAAAACCGATAAGTTTGTATCTAGACAAATTTACTTGTACATATGTAATACCTGTTCGCAGGCATCTATTTCCAAGTAAGGAAAAAAAAAGCTCTCGAGCGGGGAATTGAACCCCGGTCTCCCGCGTGACAGGCGGGGATACTAACCACTATACTACTCGAGATTACCATTTGGTTTTTTCTTTAGAACAAAGCTACTTATATAATACTTTGGCAGGAAGACTTTATGCATTTGTATCACACTAGTCACAGTAGTTCGACTTAATTACTTATTGCAGCAAGTAATCTTCCATATGGGGAAACGTCGGTTCCCAGTCTCGTAATACATGCAAGTCTGACTACAGAATGTAAGAGAGAGAACTCGACTTCAACGCTTGATCAGTGTTAGACGAGACTTCCACATTCTGCCGAATTATTAAAGCCGTGAACATTTAGTAGCTGTATTTATTCTTATAATATAGACGAACCACTCACCATAATAATAGTGTTATTTAACCATACTTTATTATATGGCTAAAAAGAATCGAAAAAACGATGCAAATATTGCCAGGTCTGTTCAGACGAACGGAGCAAGAAATGCAGAAGAGGCTACTGCTACTCTCGATAGTAATGAAGACATTTCAATAGAAACTAGCAACACAGTAGAGCCTCAGATAGAACCTCAGATAGAGCCTCAGACAATGATGAATACTATCAACACTAATATTGAAGCACAAAATACAACCGCACAAGGTCAGAATATTCCCCAGGATTACGCAAATGAACAGCTCGTTCTCAATCAAGAGGCTGTTGTCCAAGCTCTACTACACCTTCGCTCAGAACTAGCAAAGGTCCAGATTGAAAAGAACGAATTAGAGAGCGAGCATACCTCGCTGCTAGAGCAATTAAAGTCAATCAAGCAAAGCAACGGAACAGCTCATCAAGATGCATCATTAGATGAATTACGAAATCGATTGGAGGAAACCAACAATGAGAAACAAGCGTTGATGAAGGAACGTGATGATTTAGCAAGTGAATTACAAAATACGAAAAATGATAAACAGCGACTAGAGACAGAACATGAAGGAATTATAGCCAAAGTCAAAGTCTTTGCGGATAAAGTCAAATCCGATATGGTGAGTTGACTCCCGTAACATGTGATTACTCTTTAATATGCTAATCGTTATTTCGTAATTGGTGCCGTTGTAATAGGAAGAGCTTGAGAAAGCACGTGAACAAGTCATAGACCTTACCCAACAGAAACAGCAGCTTATGAAGTTAGTTTCAGAATTGAATGTTGAACTCGAAGATGTAAAAGGACAATGTCAAACTTTGACGCGAGAATTAGAGATGTCGCGTTCCCATTCTATGAAAATTGATCAACAGGCAGCACAAGAACTCATACAAAAGGATGGCATAATACAGAAGCTTGAGGACGATTTGGAAAATGTTAATAGAGAAAAAAGAGAATGGGAAATGGTGGCCATGCAATTGAGGGGATCCAAGGATGATATGATTGCGTGTGTTAAACAGTTGGAAAGAGAAATTGAAGTATTGCAAAGCGAGAAAGAAGCTATTAAATTGGAGAAAGAGGCCGAGTCCGAGAGCCTGAATAACTTGCAGGGTGTTCTTGAAGAATTTCAAGCGGGTACTAAAAGTTTTCAATTTGATATGTACTAATTATGAGGTTGTTATGCTAAAAGTAATATTTTTTTTTTGATATAGCAAAGGAATCCGAAATAAGAGAGATTGTTGAGGGCATTGAGCGAAAACTCAGTATTACCGCTACAGAACTGTCCGAGTACAAAGGGAGAGCGATTCGAGCCGAGGTTTGTCACACGATTTTTTTGAAGCAAAAGAAATTTTGTTATTCAGGAGGCGTATCATTCCACTAATGAGTGTTGCGACACCGATAATCATACATTTCACCCAGAATGAATTGTCACAAGTAAAGGATGAAATCAATAGAGTTCAACAGTATGAAAAAGATATAAAAGAAAAAAATTTACTAATTGGCAAACTGCGGCATGAAGGTAAAATTATTGTTTACGACCGCCGTCCAATGTGTAGTTACATCTTGACCCATTTTCTATCATAACTATATATAGCGGTAATACTTAACGAGCATTTAACGGAGGCATTACGACGTATGCGAGAAGAATCCAGTGAGAATAATGTAGACAGGTCAATTACTCTTTTACTGGATCAACGTCTAACTACTGATTTTTTTTCTTCTATTGTCATTGCTGACGTGCCTCTTTTTTTTTTGTTCGTTGCTTAGACGGCTGATAACGAATCTTTTGATTGCCTTTTTTAACACTCCGCGTGGTGATAGTAAACGATTTGAGATTCTACAATTAATGGGCAGTGTACTGCATTGGACAGATGAACAGAAAGAACAAGTCGGACTAATTCGGAGAGCTCCATCCACACCGCGATCGCCTGATGAGAGAACAAGCAGATGGGGTTCTGGGCTATGGACTCCGACAACAGAACGACCGCGTAACCGGCTATCCGAAGATATCCCGAGAACTAGAGCTGTATCGGCAGAAATACCAAGGACCGATGAAGGATCGAGAGAGGTTGGTTACTGTTTCTAATTCATGTGTCGTGCATTTCGTGGTTAAGAAATCGTGATGATTACTAAAATCTGGTTTTTATAGTCGTTTTCGGATATGTGGATATCGTTTTTATTGAACGAGGCAACTAGGGATAACGGCAATGGTCGGGAATCCGAATCTACTAATACGGAAAACAGGGCGACATAACTTTTGCCACATTTTAAAAGTTATTTTTAAATTCAACCCATTCAAAAGAAAAATATGAATAACAATTATACCAACTTTAATGTAAAATATTGCAGAAAACCTTGATATAAAGTGGTGAAAATAATAAAGGTTACACCTCCCCATAGCATAATTAAACCACAGCTATTCGGCAGAAAACAAATAGAATTTAGAGAATCGAAAATAACCTTTTTGTCATCTTTTTATAACTTTGGAGTTGAGGTTTGATATTCTACTTTTAGACGTGCTTACACGTCCCAGAGACCTGAAGATTGCGCTTCAAAAATTGGATCAAACAGTAGAATTTTGATTTCGTGGTCATAGTTGCTTTAAGAACAGTTACTTGTAGCAACGAAGACACTCGCCTATACTTCTGCCTCACAAAAATATCCAGCATGTTGAATAAATGTACGCTCATCTGTGTTATCATTAAATTTACCCTCCAAGTTGACTTTCCCCATCCTTCAAAAGAATATCTTGATATGACTAAGGTCAATTTCTTAAATAGTTGAGCCGCAAGAAGATGGTTTCGGATTTGAATGATATCTTTTTCGGCTTGTCAAATGATGAGGAAACAAATAACACTTGCTCTTTTCGAGGAATTATTTCCTCCTCATTTGCAGAACTCAATGAAAGATCGGTGCATCAATTTTCTTTCGGCCACTAACGTTGAAGCTGTATCCACCTTGCGAAGTATCTCCCATTCGAATCGTTCGATTTTTTCGTGTTCTTCAAAATCCTCATCCTCCTCAGCATAAACAGGGGGCTTAGCTTCGGTTTTATGTTCCATGATATGTATGATGCTTCCTTGAGCCACTTGTTGTATTCGGTCCAGTTTAAAGCTTTCACTTATTTTGTCTTTCGTAAATTGAGAAGAGCACAATTCCAAATTGATCCTTTTGTGGCTTGCAAGACTTACGCAGCCAGAACATTCCGTCGTTAGCTTCTCGCCACAATTTTATCTCGTCATCCACATCCTTTTGTCGCGGACAGGATACGCGAGAACACTCGGCGATAAAATTTCTTCCGGTTGTTGTGGAGGCTGTGTTATTGTAGTGATAATCGCGTCCATTTTATTATTTATTTCATCCATTTTCACATGGAGAGAGTCGACTTTACTCATCATAGAGGAAGTGGGGGGTTGATACCTCACTCAAGAGGTTTCCGAGTCTCCGTTACTATAATAAACTGAGACTCTATGACGACGCGGAGAACTTGAATAGTCCTAACACTTTGTTTTTCGCGTTGACGTGAAGTTTGCATTATCAAAGCCTCACCTACTAATATTTTCAATTCTTTCCATAAATTTCACATCCGTAACAACGAAATTCTTTATTGTTATGTTCTCTGTTTCTAAACTTCTTTGGTATTTTACAATTAAGACATTCTTTCGTAGTCATAATTACAGATTACTTATTAATATTGTAAGTTTTAGAAAAAAAGGAACATAATAAGTATTTAAAACCAAAAAACTTTGTATTCACATGCTATCATGACCTTCGTGAAAATGCACTGAAAGGCGTTGATGTTGAAAGAATAGGCGTTTTCATTACATATGAAAAATGAATGTTAACTTGTGCGAGCTGCTGGTTGTATTTTATGCAGCCGGCACACGGAGATACCCGTGCACCGCAACGAAACCGTTTGCACACGACGGTTTTCATTGTTGGCAAAAGTCTGAACATTAAAATATTCACTTTGTTGCATGCCCCATATTAATATAATCCCTATAAGTAGTAGTAGTAGTAGTAGTAGTAGTGTAAGAATCTTTATCTGAACTCAGATCTCAAACTCAAGTGCCTGTGTTACAAAGGTTACTCTGCTCTCACCTTGTCAAGCTCATCTGAATGAATAAAATATGTAACAACGTCAACGCAACACACTTTATTAGATGACCCCTCCTCCTGTTCTGAAAAGCATGAGCCCGTATGCTGCTGTACAGTTTGTATTTGTGCTTCCTTGAATATACACTTTCAATTCCCGTCCCAGCAATATCTAATAGCTTAAGGCCTTGCATGGCTGGAATCATTTGTTTCGCGTTTGACAAGTCAGAGCGTGATATGAGTAAAGGAGGAAAAGGAATGAGGTATAAAAATTTTTTTGAGGATCGCTCTGATTAATCAGATAGCGAGTCAGGTGATAAATCTTTTAGTTACACAGTTTGATGCGTGACGGAAAATCCGTGTCAAGCGCAGAAACATTGTCATCTCATTGACAATTGTCAGTATCAGTACAAACGCTATAATTAACTTAAAAGTTTATTATTTTGTGCCGAAAAAGATATATAAGTAGCTCATATCCCATTGTCGAATTGATGCGTTAAAACGAATCTGAATAAATAATAAACGAAATTTGAAATCAGATTATTTTCTTTCTTTTATTATTTAACCGAATATACCTATAAAACGGTTCGCATAAAAACTGTAAGTTTTGACATAAACGGCTCGCTTAAGCAATAACGACCGATATAAACGACTCGTTTTCAATTACGCGAATTGCGGAACGTGAGTAGTATAATAATATTGTAAACAATTATTGTCTAGAATAGGCAAGTAACATTTACCTGACTAGTTGACATACCAAATCAAAGATTGTCCTGTTTAATTTAAAATAATCAATTTTCCTTCGATTCTGTGGTATAATAATTGTTCTTACTGTATTATTATGTCATAGGTACCCTTATTTGATACGAAGCGCGCACGTTAAATAATCAAATTAAATTACTTGTAATTTTAGATTTAGCCGCAGAAGAAACTACCAAAATAAGGGCGATGAGCTGAAGCTAAATTACAACATTCCCCTGTCGGCCTACGCGAAGGATTATCGTTCTCCGACGACCGCAAACTGCCAACCGTAACAAAACGATTATATGTGTGAGAATTGTTCATAGTAGATCGTAATTGGGTTAGGGCGCATCCTGAAAGCCCAGGTATAAATCAATATGGTAAAATTAGAGCTAGTGAATAAAGGACAAAAAAAGATTTAGTTTTACGAGTAGCTGTTGTCGATAGTTTGATTTGTGTTTTCCTTTTGTAAATGCCAGAAGAGCAATTGTTGGCTGAAAAGAACGGTAAAGAGAATAAGCGGAATTTATTAGTGCCGACCTTTGTTGCCTTCACCAATGTCACACCCATTAAATGGTCGTCTATAAGATCGATAAACTCAAAGTTTTAAACTTACACTGTAGATATTCAATTAATTACCACATAATTATTTATTCCCTTTTTTATGTATGATTTTTTTAATAATAAAAATGTATTTCTGGACTACTCTTAAAAGAAACCGAACGATATTATTACAGCCGGATTGTTCAAGATAAACATGATGACAAATAACACAGAAATGTATAGATCGTTTATCGCTCTATTCGAGGCTTTGTTCTTTATTTTGTTTTCCAGAAATCAATTATTCAGTAAGTAATGAAACCATAAAAAGAATCTATTTACCGATAACCTACCAAAGGCAGGTTATTGAAAAACTAAAGAAGAATTTATAATCATAATAAATAACGCATAATGCTTCGTTAATAGTATGATAACACAAAGCAAAATACTTAGAAGCTTCACACAGGTTAGTATCAACTTATGATTGGGCTACGATTAGTTAGAAAATGAAGGATGAAACTCGTAAAACTAGCTTTTTTTGTCCCTTTTTTAGTGCAGATCATGATCTAATTCTTATTTTATTGCGCCAGTATGACAATGACTTCGTTTGCATAATACCATATTATTGCGCGGTACATTAAATCAATAATGGCAACGTATATTCGATATCGATATTGTAACAATGGCGCAAGGGGGGGTCGTATTATTTCGCCGACAATCATTTCACCGACCGTGCATTTTACCAAAGATCAACTATCAAAAAAAAGTTAATTTCGAAATTGTCGGTGATACGCTTCCGTAATTTGCGTTACACGATGATTTGAAATATGACTCACATGACTACTTTTCCAAACAATGATAAAAATCTCGAACTAACCCATCATTTTGTATTCAAAAACCATGTTATCATCAATAGCGACTCTTTTCTCCACGCCGCCAGACTTGACCTACGGTCGTGCTTCACTTCCTTATAGTAAGCGTGAGCTCGTCTTCCGTTCTGCCCCTTACCACCACACAGAACACGTTGTTCCCTTCCTCAACCATCCAACATATCCGAATGGCGATCATTTTGTATATTATCAAACATGGTCACTTTCAACCGTCAAACAACGAAATGTTGATGTTCTTCTAGTACATGGTATGGATGATTACGGAGGTCGCAATGCAGATAGTGTTGACAAACTGTTGGAAGAAGGTTTCAGAGTCATCTCACTCGATTTGCCCTCATTTGGAAGATCTTCAGGAAGACATTCTTATATAAACGATTGGAAAGAATTAACTGAAAGCGTTCGCTGTGTTATTGAGCACTTGAAGAAGGAAAACGAAAACTACAACGCCTCGTTAACAGATTCTACTCGCACCCTCGCATCTCGTCCTCAACCTCGCAAACTGGTTCTTTCCGGCCGGTCTCTGGGCGGTTTTGTAGCGCTATCTTATTCAATTCTTTACCCCGATACGATCGATATGATACACTTGCTGTGTCCGTTGGTCTTTGTCACCGAATCATCACGTCCAAGTAAATTCACAGAGTATATCGCAAAGGCAATTGCAAAGACACCGTTTGGGTATTTGCCAGTGTCTAATGCGCCAAGGGGAAAAGGCAGTCGTGATCCGAAAGTTTATGAAGAGTTTCTTAATGGTAAGAAAAAAAAAAGATAGAGGGGAGGTGTGTGTGAGAGAGCGTGAGCGTGAACGTGATCATGAGATATGCGGTGCGCGTGCGTGTTAAATGGTGAGAGCAAGCATCGATTGGGCCTGCAGTACGGGGAAGAAACGACATTACTGTCGATCCAACAATTACCCTACATTCTTTGCAGTACCTCGTGTTTCTTTCGGAATCTCTTTGACCAATGGCGCGATCTCAACCTCGTTACGTTTTTTTTTCTTAATTCTATTTACTTATTCCTTTTCCTTCTTTAAAGACCCGATGACGTATCACGGTGGACTCCGTGGTCGCACGGGTATTGCGCTCCTTTACGGCACTCTCTGGCTCGAGGCCAATCTGAAAGAGGTCTCGCACCCGTTTCTTGTGCAGCACGGAACATCAGACAGAATATGCTCTGTGGAAGGAAGTCAGTTGCTATATGAAACAGCTAAAACATCAATAGACAAGAAGAAACTTATACTATACGATGGACTTGAGCATGAAATGTTGCGAGAAGAGGGTCGTGATAAAGTTATCGAAGATTTGGTTGCCTGGCTGATTGAAATCGATGAGAATGAGAATATCTAAAAAGTAGAACGAGGCGACTATCAGATCGAGCGCGGCGATTACTTCTCTATATTTTTTGTAGAATTTGTATGATCCATATTTAACTGTGTTAAGCGGACATATTTAATTTATTCATTTTCACATAAAACTCACATTCTTCTCAAATGTTTTTGTAAAGTTATAAACCATATGTAGAATATGAACTGCCAACTTCATTACTGGCGGGTGTTTTTTGGGTTTGTGTTTGACCTGTGTGTTTGTGTTTGACCTGTGTGTTTGTGTTTGACCTGTGTGTTTGTGTTTGACCTGTGTGTTTGTGTTTTTGCTTGAAGTAAACATGTATCACACAGACTTAGCTTGAATACTTACGACTAATCAATAACTTTGTTCAACTCTCAGGTCAATTTCATTTCTAATTTGGGTATTAAAAATCTCAGTAACGGTAACTGTGAAGTTATTGATTTATTATACCAAGTAATGATAACATTATCTCGCAGAAACCGTGCGTCATCATTGTTAATCTTGTGATAAGTTGTAATTGCTCTCGACTTACGCTAACGCGTGAATTTACCAACAAGCTGATTTCTAGACAGTTCGTGCGCATTATTGTGGAACTACTAGTTGTGTTTAACATACGCAACAAAACCAGACAAAGTGAAAATTTGATTATGTGAGAGTTAAGGTTGTTTTGATTTAGTATTAGTGGCACAGCTGTTGTTCAATATGGACTAAATTTTAGTGGCATTTTTAAGACCATGTTTATAAGAAACGTGACTAGATCAATTAAAATGTAAACGTAATGTTTAATCAAAGTTTTAATACATTAATATGAAACTAATTACATCAAATCTAGCATGGAACCCAAAAACTGCAGTACTATTAGAAGTATTTTAAAATTGCTCATTATGTTAAATCAAACTTTCCAGGAATGTCTAGATCAAGAAAAGTTACCTATGAAATTGTACAAGAACGAAGAATAATAACTAACAACAAACATTAACACCAACAGTCGTTTGTTGAGTGGACTTGAATAATTTTAAAAAAGATAAAATAATTCTTACTTTTACTGTGAGGGCAAGATGTAAATGTGTTACGGCAAGCGCCGAGAATGAGAGAGAGAATAATCGCCGCGAAATCAGATAAGCGAGCAGGCGATGAAATCTACCTCGTGTTCCGTGTCAGAAAAAAAGTAGCTCATACCAGAGATGACTATCGCAGTCTGTTTCTTCGATCAATATGAATAGCAAGCCATGGGTGCATTTGCACATCCCGTCGTCGAAATTCGAAATAACCGGTATGTTGGTTAAGAAACCGGCACATTTGTTTAACAAGATTGTATTGGTTGAGAACCGGCACGTTTTTAACAAGATTGTATTGGTTGAGAAACCGGCACGTTTTTGACAACATTATATTGGTTGAGAAACCGGCACGTTTTTGACAACATTATATTGGTTGGTTGAGCGGGTATACACCATCGACATTGAGATCCATTCCAAATACTTCAATACGAGACCCTGTTGATTTGTGCCTAGTTAACTTGGCAGACTGACCTCGGTTATGCTTTGGTAACTGATGAGGATGTTTTCGTGAGAAGATGTTTTCGGTAGTAATGTAAGCGAGGCCATCTGAACGATCTGCACATTCCTCTTGCCTCATACCTAGTTTCCTAATTACGATACGGATAACTTAGCATTGATAAATAAAAATGCGTGTGTCAGACTATATTACGAGATGCCAAATCCGCAGTTCTCTATACTTACGTGGCAACTGTTCAGGAAAAGTTTTCTCATAACTACGAGTTCATCTTGGAGTGTGAAGTTCACCAAATCATCACCATCTCGGATTTCCATATTATATTAATGTCCAGGTTGGCGCTGTCCGCACCTTTATTGTTATGAAGCCTTCCTCTACGGACGCTTTCACGACGGCCTTTACGTCTACCCTAATCAGTTTATTGGCATCAAATCATTTGGTTTCTTCGTCGTCTTTCAGATAACCGATAGTCAGATTCCTGTCAATATCAACAGGGCAAGGCTGAAGAGAGTAAATTTTTTAGGAAGGAAAGAAAGTGACTCGATATTGTGTTTACCTTACACAAACATCCATATTAGATATACGCTTCACGGTTGCTTATTTTGGGGGGTAGTATCACAAACACAGCGATGAGGGTTATATGAAATGCCATAGTTAATGAAAATGATATTCTCGTGGGTAAAGTCACGCGCCTCATCCAGCAAAAGAAACAGAAGAATTTTTCTTTACTTTTGAAAATTTTGGAGAGAAAACTCTTCGTTTCGTCAATTTTTTCCTTTATTTGCCGGCTGGTGAAGAAGGGGTGGTTTATGATATTCGCCGCAAGAAAGTTCAAAAAGAATAAAAAAGAATTAGAAATGATTGAAGTTTATGTGGGCCACAAAAGAAAAATCGAGGTAGGCTGGTGTTTTTTAATCTCCTTCAGTTGCCTTGTATTGTGGCGCTTGTTGAATTTTTTTAAATCTTCTAATAAGGAATTTACTTTCAATAGTGAAGAAATGCAAACTTCAGATCCCTAAGATTTTTGAAGGAAGCGAGCTATGCTCATAATGACTATACCAATACACAGTATAACACTTGCACTCTAAGAAAAAGTGGTTCTTTTTTAATTTTTTTTTACAGAAATATTAAATAAAAGTAATTTTACATTGAAAGGAAGCAAGTTACGCTATGCCGATACATACCCCATAACACGCGCATTATAAGAAAAGAATACTACTTTTTCGTTCCCCTTGACAGAATCGTAAGTTTACAAATGTAAAACTTTTCTTATTGATATTTTCCCAATTTTTTATAAAGTAGCCACATTTTCTTATAGCGTAAGTGTTATACTGTGTAGTCGTTATGAGCATACTTCAAAAACCTGAAAGATCTGTCAATGCCGTAGTTGTTTGCTTGGAAAAAACGGCTCGTTATCGAGGTTTTCATTATGAGGGCCTATTTTCTCGGCTATTTTTCTATATGCATTCGATATAGTCTCGCAAATTACAAGTGTAGAAGAGTCTGAAGGTATTGAGATAGGGCTATTTGGTAGCAATAAGCTCGTATCGTTTAGAAAATCTGGTATATCAGCCATTATAATGAGGGCAACCTTTCGATTCTACAGAGACCGCCTCCCCAAAATGCACAAAAATGCATTTCGTGCCGATTACAACATGTCAGCCGTGACCATAATAGGAATATTGGAAACTTGTAGATGTTTACCGAAAGTCGGTTATTTAAGTGGGAAACCATTTACTTGCCCGACAAACGTTTGCCCGACAGTTCATTTGTCCGACAAATATTTACCAGCATTATTTCAAAGTTATCCCTTTTTGGGTAGTTTTTGGTCGGGCAAATGAATAGTCGGGCAAACGAACCAGACCCGTATCCGACCGCTCCTACCTTGGGACAGGAACAAGTAAACACTTTAAAAATTTTCGTGCATAAAGACCATAATCACCTACTGTAATCATACCACTCATAGGCAGCAGTAAATTTATCGTCTGGGTTGAAGCGCTTATATATTATCAATGAAATTTGTAATTTTATGCAAAATTAGAGCGAGTTTTCAGTTTATGTAGACTAGCACTCCCTGGACAAAGTATCCGATGTGAGTTTTTTCGAGTAAATCATTATGACAAATATACAGAATTTTTATATCATTTTGTAGCTTACTTTTCACAAATCTGCATGCAAAGTTTGAAGTGTTTAGCTTTCTTGAACGATAAATTATCAAACTAAAGGCAATAACGATTGAAATCAATTGGCTCACAAAAATTTATATCAATATAAAGGAAAGAAGAAAATAAACGTAAAAAAATTTTTAAATAAATATAATTGTTTTATTATTATAAACCAAATACAAATATGTGTTTGACTCAACTTTTCTTGCCACCTCTTTTTTGTATGTAAATAATTAAATAAAAAAGCAAAGATTTTCGCGTTTTTTTGTTTTGTTTTATCGCGTTGTTCCCAATTTTATTTCCGGGCACTTTATTATTATTATAGCTTAAATGCCAAAACATTCGAAGAAAATTTTGGGTCTTAGAAATGATGAAAGTAGCATTTCAAAATATCTAAGACATTTAAAACCGCCATCCACTGTATGGGATACCATTGTGAACTCTGATAATTAAAAAGAGCCACGGAATTAGAGATTGCTCTAAAAGAGGAACGGTCAATAATTCCTCATCAAACATGTTCCAATTTGATTAAGAGCATACAAAGACGGCTTGAGGCATGTCAACTCAGTACTAAAGAATAAACTAACGTTTATAGCCAAAAAATTGGCGAAATTAATATTGCCTTTTGTTGATAATTTATCGTTTGAGAAAGCTAAACACTTCAAACTTTAATGCAGATTTGTGAAAAGTAAGCTACAACATGATATAAAAATTCCGTATACTTGTTATAATGATTTACTCGAAAAAACTCACATTGAGTTGTGTTTAGTCACAGTAGCTAGAGGTTTTAAAACAATCGTCTGATATGAAGTTTTAATTACGATATTATTATATGGGTGTTTATCCTTTTCATATGCCACTGACCAATAATCTCAGAGTTATGCTGTTTGGAGGTTCAGTTAATTAAGATATGTTCTTAATCTCAGAAAGTTCTCTTACAAAAACAATCTTTTTCAAACAAGTCAATAGCGATAGTAATAGGTGAAAATATTGAAAATATTGTCTGCGTTTGGAACCATAGTACTTTCGCGTTTTTTGTTATAAACGTTGTTGAAATAAACTCGATAAGGTTCAATTTCTACAGGCAAGTAAATTGTAATTGTTAAACAGCTGAATCTTAATTTCAGTAACAGACAGATGATAAATTTCCCCGATCGTGGAGTAGGCTAAAACGGAGTAGAGCATGCCCTGATTCTTGCAAATGCATCTATTCTCTTTACAGTTTAGATTTCAGGCAGTTGTCCAAAGAAGGATTATTACAATTCCTTGGAGGATCGAAACTTGTGTGACGGTTTAAGAGAAAAAACCAACTTTTTGGAGAATGTATTTATAGCAAAATAGAATAAATATTTCTGGCAACAACTACACAGTGACGCTCTTTATAGTGTATCAAAAAAAAAATCTATTAGTCAAAAATTCTCAAAAATCCACTATATCGAGAGTTTTTGAAAATTAATTAGAATTTATTATAAAGGTTTTGAACCTCTATCCACTATAAAGAGCGGCACTGTGTAATTACGTATATCACGCGATTAAAACTTCCCACGTACCATATGCAATTAGTAATGTTGGCATAATGTACAGTATAACGTTTGTAATACATCAAGTTAATTTCGTCAAACAAGCGCTTGCTTTTTATAGCGCCCAGTTATGGGATCGACATTTGTTTGCTTATGTTAAAAAATAATTATCTTTTAAGTTTCTGTCTGGAATGCCCGCGTTGAGCACAACTACAAACAAGCGCTTTTCGAATGACCTTCTTGAACCTGACTATATTGCTACACTATTTGAGATTATTATCATTGTCTTTTCACGGCTTTGATTTTTTTTGCTGTTAGGGACGATGATGTAGCACACTTTTCTAGACGAGTATTTTCTTTGAAATAACTGCCTTTGGCAGGGTTTATTATGCGCTGGATATGCACATGTTTATTGCGTATGTTATTAATAGTTTTTCACATTACATGTTAAGTGGCATTTTGAATTAAGTGCTACCAACAAGATTAAAATTTTTCGTAAAAGGATAGTAATCAGTAAATTATGTACACATAATTTCTTCTCGACCATCTATGCCCACTCCCACTCATCCATCTCATTCTGAATATCCCGTTCCCCCTTCTTCCTCAATGCAACCCGTTTGTTGAAAACCATCGAAGCCCATGAGCTTCCTCTCTTCCTGCAGGCAAGCGGAGCTCTGATAAACCAATCGGCATAAGTACACACAATCTTGTCTAATATTCCACTCACACCAGCACCCCCATATTCGTGTTCATGTTCCTTGTCAGCAAGTGCTCCTAACGTAATCCATGTATGTAGTTTTACCGTCGTGTTGAGATAGCTTATTGCTCTATGATGGTATGGAGTGACCTTATGGAATGTACTTGATTGTGACCGCTTCCCACTCAGTGGATAGTCGGTTGACAGATATAGATTTTCTATAGAATGCTTTTCTTTGAATTTTTGAATAAACTCTACTAATTTTTCTGCA